GGGCCCATTTGTCCTAGGCCCTCACCCACGGCCTGCCTAGGTCCCCACACACAGCCATGTGCCATAGTCCTCCGTCTCCACAGGACTCTGGCCTGCGGGGAGGTGGCCGATGACACCTTCAGTGATCCAGCTCCTCCTTCCCAGGAACATCCCAGTGTTCTGAATTCACCCAGGAGACCCCCGACCCCACCCCAATCTACTCAAAGTGCCCAGAGGCTCTGAGCCATGGGAAAGGCTGGCTCCTCAGCCCCCAAGTTGCTCCCTCCAGTGGCCACAGAGCAGGGCCCTTCTCCCTCGGGGACAGCCCCCAGGCTTTGCATCCTCCTTTGCCCCTGAAGCCCTCTCTCCACTGCTGTCAACACCAAGGGCCCAAGACCAGGCCCCCCTCCCTTCCCCTCCCTTCCCCTCCCCTCTCCTCGGCAGGGGATTCCACCCGGCTGTCCCCCTTGTCAGTCCCAGCTGACACCCTGTCCTGTCCTTCACTGGCTCTGGCCTCCTGGCTCCCACCAGTTCCTGAGCTGAACCCAGCTGGTTGCCCCAAGGGACCCCGCTCTCTCCACCTGTGCCCCAGCTGAGGTCAGAGCCTCTGATGGGCCAGGCCCCATCCTTGCCCCTTGGCCCCTCTGGCGGGTGGCGAATGACATGGTGAGTTTCCTGTGGCTGGAATGGTGTCACACTCCTCGGTGTACCCTAGAGCCGTGCACGATGCCTGGCACACAGGAGCAGTGGACCACACCGGGGAACTGTGGGCAAGCAGTGGTCCCTGGGAAGCTGTACCCGTGCGAGAGAGAGGAGAGCCGCTGCTGACAGAGGCGATGCGGGCGTCTGCCCTGGACGGCTGGGCAGCTTTGACCACAAAGGACCAAGTGCTCCAGAGGCCTGCAGGCAACCACTAGCCACAGGGCACCCAGGACTCCAACTCTGACCCCAGGAGGGCAGCACGGTGAGGGTGGGGAGGGTCAGAGAGACCAGACGTGCCATGGGGCCTTGGCAACTCAAGAAGGGGTTCCTTGGCACCCGTGGCAACTGCAAATGCTCAGATGGGTGTTGATTGAGTCTCCCAGCAGAGCTCAGGCCACAGCGTGGATCCTGTATTTCAGGAACTCCCAGATGTGCTGGGAAAGGTGGGGTGGGAAGGACACATTCCGGCCTGAACAGAGTCCCGGGGCTGAAGCGAGGGAAGCACCAGGGGCACACCCTGAGCTGTGGAGGCTCCACACAGCTGCAGCCCACAGCGGGCATGCTTCCCTGGGCTGTGACAGGCCACAGCGGAGGTAAAACGACAGAAGTGAATTCTCACAGCTCTGGAGGCAGACGTCCAAGAGCACGGTGTTGCATGGCCAAGCTCCCTCCAGAGGCTCCAGGGAAGCGTGGCTCCCGCCTCTCCCAGCTCCGGTGCAGCCGCGTTCCTTGACCACGTCTCTCCATTTCTGCTGCCTCCGTCCTCACGTGGTCGTCTCCTGTGGGCAGCTGTGCTATCTATCTCTTTCTGCTTCTCTTACGAGGACACTGGGGAGAGCATTTAGGGCCACTGGGCTGTCCCAGATAATCTCCTCATCCCACAGGTCTCAATTCACCCACAGTTCAGTCTGTTACCACGTAAGGCCACACTCTCTCCTGTGCTTTATGAGGTCCTGTTCACAGGTTCTGGGGACTAGGAGGTGGCCGTTCCTCAGCCAGCCACAGTCAGCAGCCCCAACACGACCACATGCCAGGAGCCCAGCCGAGAGACGCTGCCTGCAGGGACCTATGTTCATTGCCCCTCCCCTAGCCCAGCCACCCGTTTGGGAACAGTGGATACAGCTCTGTGCAGCCTCAGGGACAGGGATGCAAAAGCAACCAAGACAGGAGTCTCCAGCAGAGGTCTACACCAGCCACCAACGCCGGCAGTACTCCGGGAAGGAAACCCTTCTTCTGCGTCGGGCCCTTCTCTCCAGGACGCTGTGGTCCGATTCAGCCAACGTGCCCGGAGTACCTGCCAGGCCTGCTCAGGCTCAGGTGCAGATGCAGAAAAGTCAGACTTGAGCGGATGAGCTTGGCACCATTGTGCGACCTGAGCAAGTCGCTGCCCCGCCTGGGCTCCAGGTCCTCAATGGACAGTGAAGAATCCACAGGAGACCGGCTCTCAGACAGAATCCATCCGTCCAGAGACCAGACGCCCTTTATGCAGACACCTCTGTGGGGAAGCAGTTTCCGCACTGACATGGCCCGTCTGGGCTTCAGGATAAAGCGGCGATGCTCACCACGCGGCACAAACCCTCGTCCTGACTCCCAGACCACGTGCCCGGCCCCTGCGGCCTCCCTGACTCCCAGAGCACAGGCCCGGCCCCTGCGGCCTCCTCTACACCCAGAGCACACGCCCGGCGTCTGCAGCCTCCTCTATTCCCAGACCACACGCCCGGCCCCTGCGGCCTCCTCTACTCCCAGACCACACCCTGGCCCCTGCGGCCTCCTCTACTCCTAGACCACACGCCCGACGTCTGTGGCCTCCTCTACTCCCAGAGCACACGCCCGGACCCTGCAGCCTCCTCTATTCCCAGACCACACGCCTGGACCCTGCGGCCTCCTCTACTCCCAGAGCACACGCCCAGCCCCTGCAGCCTCCCCGACTCCCAGACCACACGCCTGGACCCTGCGGCCTCCTCTACTCCCAGACCAGACACCTGGCCCCTGCCTAACTCTGCATCAGCGTGGCGAATAAAATGCAGGATGCCCAGTTGTTAGGATTAATCTGAAGTTCAAATCTAACTTGCATGGCACACAAACATTTATTGTTGTTGATCTGGAGTTGGAATGTAACAGAGATCCCTGTATTTCCACTGCTAAACCTGGAAGCCCCCGTCAGAGCAGCTCTGAGCAGTAGGGGTGAACCCCTGCTGGGAGGAGCAAAGCAAAGAAGGGACCGTTGCCTCTGACGCACCGCCCATGCTGAGAAGGTCAGGGCCGTAGCTGCTGTCAGCAACACCCATGCTGAGAAGGTCAGGGCTTCCCGTCCTGCTCTGGCCTCTGCAGCCCCCACCTAGTGGGGCAGGACAACACCAAGAGCCACTCTGGGCTTCAGCTCGAGTCCCCCGTGGGATGGGCAGGTACTCAAGGTGAAAGTTCTGAGGAAGCGCAGGGGCTGGGCCGCTTTAGGGAATGGGAGTAGCCAGCCTGTCCTGGGGAAGGCAGGTGTCCGTGGTCACCCCCAGGGAGGTGAGGAAGGAGCTGGCAAATTGAAAATAACTTCCGGGAGAAGCAAGTCCTGCCGAAGCCAGCCCAGCCCCAGCAGGGCACCCCGTGTGGCCCTGGGCTGAGCCGTGCTGTGCTTGTTCCCTGGGATTGGGGAGCCCAAGTCATGGAGTGAAACCGATTGGAGGAAAGGACGAGGCCGGAGGAGGCGGCAGCTGCCAGGAGCATGCCCCGTGGAATCCCAGGTGGCTCCAGCTGGGATTTCATGGCAGGACCCACGCGATGCTCAGGCCTTGGGAAGGTTCGGCAGACCTCACTTCTCCAGGGATCCCCTATCCCGGCCCGCGGGATCGTCGAAGCAGGCCCTGGAGGAGGGAGTGTAGAATTTGGGAACAGAGACACGAGAAATGGAGACAAGACAGTGCTCTGATCAAGTCTCGTTTAATGGCAGTAATGCAGTGCATATATACACTTGGAGAGGAAGGGGGTTGGGCCAAGTGAAATGATCTCATTCAGAGGGCGCGGCCAGGCAGGTTTGGTTTCAGCGGTGGAGTGCGTCATGTTGCGCCTGCGCTAGAGTAACCATTTTTGCTCTGAAGTAACAATTTTAGCGCGTACGGAAAGATGGGTGAAGAAGAAGAAGCAGAGGCGCGCCGGGAAAGATGGGTGAAGAAGAAGCAGGAAGCGCGCCATCTTGTGCGAGGTATTTAATACAGGGAAAAAGACAAATCTGGGAAGGAGGTGAGAGGTGGAAATGAATAGAGCTCAGGCGTTTAATCGTCAATAATTACTTGCTATGGCCGGGGCGCGCAGCTCCGGACAATCCCCCACCTGCCTGGGGCTCCCCTGGAACCCCTGCCTGGCCCAGGGAAAGACTGGGTAGGAATGACAACCCCAAAGTGGCAAAGGCTTGCAGAGAAGGGAGGCGAGGCCCCGGGAGGAGGAGGAAATCCCGCCCCACCCGACATGACGGTGGCCAGCGCCCTGCCTGGCTTCACTCAGGACAGTGTTTTCCCAGTGGAGACCACAGGAAGAGACCGCCTGCCCCCACACACGCCCCTTCTCACTCAGCCGTCCCTCACCCTCCTCACCCTCTTCCTGCCCTTGCAGTCCCCTGGTGCATCTAAGCAGCTGCCCGCTCAGGCCCAGGCTCATCTGAGTCACTCACCATCCCTGTTAGTGGACTGCAGACTGTGCCTCAGCCCACAGCACCCACGGCACCCGGTGCAAAGAGCCCCTGAGGGTGTGAAGCCTTCTCAGTCCCTGACAATTTCTTGAAGGCCTCCTCCACCAGGTTACAGGACAGAAACATTTTTGCAGAGCCCAGGAATTAAGTCCTCACCCTTCCTCCACCCTTGGCCCACAGGCTGTCCTTCCCACCACCGCGGCCCGCAGTCTGCTTCTCAGAGAAGGAGGTATCTGCAGGCATCCCCCCATGCTGTCCTCCCTCCTCTGGGGCAGAGGGAGGGTGTGGACGCTGTGCGGTGGGAGTGCAGTGGGTAGCAGGCAGGAAGCCCACGCCTCAGGGAGCTCTGGTGCACACACACAGCCTGCCCTGCCCTGTGGCTCCTACACGCAGGGGAGCAGGGGCTGGGGGAGGAAGGAGGTGATGGCCAGTTAAGCCCCAGGTGGACAGAGAGAGCTGGGGTGTGCTCAGCTGGGGAGCAGTCAGCTGTGTGGTGGGGTGGGTGGGTGGGGAGATGCACCTGTGGGTCATGGGCCGGGGGCTACTTTGGACCACCCTGAGGAGCTACCTGGGGCTGAGGGTGGGCTAATCCCTCACCTGGAAAAGCCAGTGGGGAGCAGATGTTAGAGCAGACTCATTTTTCTGAGGGAGGAAGGAAGCTGGAGGCAGGCTCAGCCCAGGACAGGGTGGGCAGAGGCCCCGGGAAGAGGGAAGCTCGACGGCACGGGATGGGTGGAGAGCTGTGTGACAGAGGGGAAGGGGGTGTTCTCTCAGGCCTGGGGGGCATAGAGATCACCCACCTGGGCACACGGGGCCACCAGCTCCGTCTGCCCAGGGCTCCAGCCCCCAGCTCCCCTGGAACGCGCACCCAGGTGGGGGATCCTCTAGGTCTTTCCAGGTGCTGGCCACCGTGGGTTTTGTTTTGCTTGCTGTTTGGAGTTTTAGTTTTTTACGTTTTGGTAAATAAACATAACTTTTACCATCTTAACCGCCTGTAAGTGTGCAGCTCAGCGCCGTTAAGAACGTTCACGTTGGCCAGGCGCGGTGGCTCAAGCCTGTAATCCCAGCACTTTGGGAGGCCGAGACGGGCGGATCACGAGGTCAGGAGATCGAGACCATCCTGGCTAACACGGTGAAACCCCGTCTCTACTAAAAGTACAAAAAACTAGCCGGGTGAGGTGGCGGGCGCCTGTAGTCCCAGCTACTCGGGAGGCTGAGGCAGGAGAATGGCGTAAACCCGGGAGGTGGAGCTTGCAGTGAGCTGAGATCCGGCCACTGCACTCCAGCCTGGGCGACAGAGCGAGACTCCGTCTCAAAAACAAAAAACAAAAAACAAAAAAAGAACGTTCACATTGTGGTGTGGCCATTGTCACCGTCAGTCTCCAGAGCTCGTCTCATCTTCCAAGCTGAGATCCTGTCCCCATCCCACACTGACTCCTGCCCCTCCCCATCCCCTGACTCTCACCATTCTACCTTCCGTTTCTAGGGCTTGCAGCGCTCCTGGGACCTCAGGTAAGCGTTGGCCTTAGCACTCACTTATTTCACTTGGCATTATGTCCTCGGGGGCTTCCAGATTGTGGCATGTGTGAGAATTTCCTTCCTTTTAAAGGCGGAGTAATATTCCACGGTGGGGATGGACCCCATTTTGTGTATCCAGTCATCTGTGAACAGACACCTGGGCTCCTTCCCCCATCAACTACAGTGCAGATGCTGCTGTGAACACAGGGGTACAAACATCTCTTTGAGTCTCTGCTTTCAGTTCCTTGGAGTATATGCCCAGAAGTGGGTTCCTGGATCACATGGGAACTCTGTTTAATTTTGTGAGGATCTGTCACCCCATTCCCACCGCAGTGCACAAGATCCCTGGCTTCTCCATGTCCTCCCCAGCACTCATCCTCCGCTTTCTCGGTAAGAGCTATCCCAGGGGCTGTGAAGTGCTGACGTGCTGTGGTTTGGATTTGCGTTTCTTGCATGAGGTGACTCTGAGTGTCTTTCACGTGCCTATTGACCTTGGAGAAATGTCTGTTCAGGTCTTTTGCTCATTTTTCATTGTTTTCTTGTTGTTGGGTTGTAGGAATTCTTTTTTTGGGGGGGACAGTTTCCCTGTCACTCAGGCTGGAGTACAGTGGTGCCATTCGGTTCACTGTAACTTCCGCCTCCCGGGTTCAAGCAATTCTCATGCCTCAGCCTCCTGCGTAGCTGGGATGACAGGCATGTACCACCATGCCCAGTCAATTTTTTTGTACTTTTTTAGTAGAGACGGGGTTTCGCCATGTTGGCCAGGCTGGTCTCAAACTCCTGACCTCAGGTGACCCACCTGCCTCAGCCTCCCAAAGTGCTGGGATTACAGGTGTGAGCCACCGCACCTGCCAGAATTCGTTATACATTCTGAATACTAATCCTTTATCAGATATAAGACTGGTAAATATTTTCTCCCATTCTGTGGGTTTTCACTTTCTCCATAGCGTCCTTCGATGCACAAGTTTTAAATTCTGATGCAGTTCAATTTATCTATTTTTTTTTCTTTGATTGTCTGTGCATTTGATGCCATATCCAAGAAATCACTGCCAAATCCTGTGTCATGAAGCTTTTCCCTACGTTTTCTTCTAAGCTCTTTATGGCTTGGGCTCTTACTTTTGGATCTGTGGGCAGGGCGGTAGCCCCAAGCCTCCTCCGGTCCCCAGGCAAGAGCCCCCACCCCAGGCACTTTTCTTCACTGTGCTGTGGCATTCAGCCTTTGCCACGCTGACAGAAAGCAACAGAGGGCAGGGTCCCCAGCCAGCCCTGCAGCCTCTCCCAGGACCCAGGTCCCGCAGGGCCTGCCCATGGCGGCATCCACCGGCAACCCCTCAAGTGGGTAAACACAGGCTGGGTGAAGGGCAAGGTCTTCTCTCCCACCCCACAGAACCTCTCAGGACCTGCCTGCCCCCACAACCGTCTGGATCCCCCCTAAAACCCAGTACATGTGTCCAGCTGGCCTCCCTCTCAGGAGAGTGGACGACACCTTGACAATCACACCAAATGCCTTGTTCTCCTGCATCAGACCACCTGCCTCGCCAGCCACCACCCCTGCCCTCAGCTGGCCTCCTGTCCACCCCCGACAGGTGGGGATGAGATGGTGCCACTCCGCTGCTGTGTGCAGGACGGGGTGGCACTCCCATGCCCTCTGAAGAAAGTTCATGTGCAGGGCAGCTCGGCGGAGCAGGTGGGCGGTGGCCAGAATGTGGCGCCCTGTGTCCCAGCCTCACAGCCTCCAGGGCTGCCTGTCCTGCCGTAATCACACTGGAATCTTTCCAGCCTTCCGTCACTGTCTCAGCTCATTTGGTGACTCTGCACCCCCCAGGGCCAGAGCCAAGTCCACACCTGGCAGAGCGGACTGTCTGAGAGGACAGCCAGTGACTGCTTGAGAGGAGCGGCTCCATGGCTCCCTGGGGCCGACCTGGGTCACAGCCTCTTTGGGTTCTGTCCGAGGCACATCCCCCGCTGGTGCTAGACAGCAAAAGACACCCGTGGCCGGCTGTGGGTGCCCGGCAGCCAGTGTGTGTGTGCCTGCTTGCCATCTGTTCCTGTGTCCCCACGTGGGCCCAGCATAGCCAGGATCGGGGACTGTCCCCACGGAGATAAGGCTGTAACCCCAGCGAGGTTTCCTGTTTCAAGGGAACAATGACAAAACCCAGCGATGATTTATCTACAGACAAGTGTTTCTCTGAGCCCAGGAGGGTTCTTCCTCAGCCTCCGAAAGCCAGGCAGGTCAGGGAGGATGAGGAGGACCACATCCAGAATGGCCATGGGTACCGAGTACTTTCCTCAGTCCCGGGGAGGGAGGCATGAGGTCCAGAGAACAAGGGCTCAGCCCCCATCAGGCTGTGGGTCAGGACTGGGCAGGGCCCCCTGAGCCCCACCCTCCCTGAGAACCCAGCCCACAGAGCGCCTGCCCCCGGGGAGGACCCTCTATCCCATCCTCCACTGTCCCAGGACGTTCCCTGGGGGCCCAGCCAGCCTCCGGCCAAGGCCTGCCCTGTGGGTTCTCCTAGTCCAGCCATGGCCCTGGTCTGGAAGCCCCATGATGGACGCCCGGCAGCGAGGCCTTGGGAGGCGTGCACGGGGCTGGGCCAGCCCTCGTGTCCTGGAAAGGTGTCCTGGGGGGAATCGGGACCACGGCCAGCAGGCGTGGGCTTTCCTGCACAGCCACAGAGGGGCAGGGTTAAGGGGGACATTGGGCAGCAAAGAAACAAGGGTGTGTCCGGTGGAGCAGCCAGGACCCCAAGGCTAAGAGGAGGTGGGTGGCGAGGAGGGCCTGCCTTGGGTCGGGGCCCCACCAAGAGGAGGGACCAACCTTCATGGCTCACCAGGACTCTCCCAGGAAATCCCTCTTCCCTGGGCAAACCCTCCAGTGCCTGAGGAAGAGGCGCGGGAGGTCATCTGCGAAAATCATGGACTTGGAGCTGCCGTGGGCAGGGGGAGGTTGAACTGCAGGTGGCCATGCCCACCCCAGATGGCACAGAGGCCCCAGGCGATGCCCACTTGGACCCAGAAAATCCCATCCTCACCTTTGGTCTTGTCCAGGGCAACTCCACAGCCAGAAGGAATTTTCTAAAACGCAGGCGGGGCGGGTGCAGTGGTTCATGCCTGTAATCCAGCACCTTGAGAGGCCAAGAGGGGAGGATCGCTTGAGGTCAGGAGTTCAAGACCAGCCTGGTCAACATGGTGAAACCCCATCTCTACTAAAAACACAAAAATTAGCCGGGTGTGGTAGCGCGTGCCAGTAATCCCAGCTACTCAGGAAGCTGAGGCACGAGAATCACTTGAACCTGGGGGGCGGAGGTTGCAGTGAGTCGAAATCGTGCCACTGCACTCCAGTCTGGGCGACAGAGCAAGACTCCATCTCAAAAATAAATAATAAATAAATAAATAAATATATATATAAATAAAAAATTAGGCCGGGCGCGGTGGCTCAAGCCTGTAATCCCAGCACTTTGGGAGGCCGAGACGGGCGGATCACGAGGTCAGGAGATCGACACCATCCTGGCTAACCCGGTGAAACCCCGTCTCTACTAAAAAAATACAAAAAACTAGCCGGGCGAGGTGGCGGGCGCCTGTAGTCCCAGCTACTCGGGAGGCTGAGGCAGGAGAATGGCGTGAACCCGGGAGGCGGAGCTTGCAGTGAGCCGAGATCCGGCCACTGCACTCCAGCCTGGGCGACAGAGCGAGACTCCGTCTAAAAAAAAAAAAAAAAAAAAATTAAACACAGGTGGGAGCCCCTGCCACCAGCCCTCCTGAGAGCTGTCACCTGCAGAGGCCACACAGGGTGCCTCCACCTGGCTGGGCCCAGCGCACGTCACCTTTGGCCTGGATGTACGGCTTCAGGTCAAGGTGTCCCTCCAACACCCCCATTCAGACCACCAGCCTCCCCTTGAACATGGGCATCTGTGTCAGGACTGACACAGGACTTGCTTCTGGCGTGTGAGGTCTTATCTCCACCTATCCAAGAGGCCCTCATGGGAAATCACACCAGCCTCCCAGCCTCCTCGCCACTCCCCACCGTCCACAAGTCCACTCAGATGCCCCTTCCCCACTCCACCCACCCTGCCCCCAGCAGGAACTCTGACCAGAGGCCAGGGCCACACCCTCTAAGCCCCGACCCACCTCAGGGGAGTTCAGCGGAGCCCCAGCAGGAAATGCTGCCCCTCCCACCTCAGGCTGAAGCATCGAGGGCAGGATTCTCCACGGCCACAGGGCCTCCCAGGACTCTGAGGGTGGGCGACAGGCAGTCTTGGGTGCCTGGGGGATCTGGAGGCTGCTCAGGGAGGGGCCCAGCCCATGGAGTGGGTGTCCTGGGTCTGGACCTGGAGCCAGAGGTCATTCTTGGGCCAGAAGCACGAGGCTCAGAGGGACTGACCAGGCCCCTGGCCCCCCAGGGACTGTCCAGTGAAGCCCAGCCCGGATGCCCATGGGGCCGTGTTTGGCCAGAGAGCCTGGCCTGTCCCTGCAGGGCCACCCTGGAGGTTGTCCTCAGGAGTGGGGGTGAACAGAGCACAGGCGTTTCTCTGGGAGGGCTCCTTTAGAGTACAGGTGCCTCTGCTTCTTGAATTTCGCCTCTGAGGAGGTAGCCTGGGCCCTTAGCCCTCTCTCGGCAGAGGTGGGCCCTGCAGCAGGAGTGGCTGCCCTCGCGTGAAAGGCTGCCCTGTTCAGAGTCCTCTGCCCACCTCTGTGGCTGTCCCTTCCCCAGAGGGACCCCTGCCAGCATCAGCTCAAGGAGGTCCCAGCTCAGAATGAGGAGCCCCAGAGGGAGTGGAATGGGGCCGAAACACTGGCATGGCTGCCTGCCAGGCACCTGACTTCATCTGAGACCCCGGGAGGCCCAGGCTCAGAGCCACAGAGCTCTGTGTCTGCAGGGACAGCCGGCCTGGAGGTGGCAGACATGGCCCTGCTTCCCTCTCATTGCCTCACCTATGGGAAGCTGCCTGCCCTGGCATCCCGACAGTTCCTGGCAGCCTCTGGGGTGGGAAGCTGTGGGCAAGCTCTGCAGATCCTCTTCCACGCATGCTGACCAGGGCCTGCTCTCCTCCGGACAGGGCGGCTGGCGGTCCTTTCCGGTTCCAGAGGGTGGGAAACGGTGCAGCTTCCTGGGACAAGGGTGGGTCCACGGGCAGATGACTCTGAAGGGCTCTAGTGGGAGTCAGACCACAGGTGCAAGGCCAGGAAGATGAGCTCCTTTGCCCCTCAGGCAGGCAGCGTCCCTCCCCAGGCCTCAGTCCACCACCTGTGACGACCACTACATTCTTTGACAAATGGTTTTAAAAAGCCATAGTTCTTGAGTCCAGATCAAGGGAGACCAGAGATCCACATGCTGCCTCTGCCTGCCGTGTGTCCAGCAAGCACACGGCTCCCCCTGGAGCGAATGCGGGGGGCGGTGTCTGGGGGAAAAGGCCAGCCCCTCCCAGGTGCCGTTGCTCAGGTAGACAGTTTCACCCAGGGCGTCTCCAGGTCGCCAGGGACATCTGCTTCCAGCCAACAGCGTTCCTTTGTCCCCATAGCAACAGGGTCCTGCACTCCTGTTTCCAGGGAAACCCAGCTCTCAGCGTCCCGACTGCCACAGCAACGCCTACGGGCTCAGCGGGCCATACCGTCTCACCCACAGGGCGAGGGCAGCTGGGTGCCCAGGCTTGGGTCGCAGGACTGCAGAGCCAGGTGCCACACAGGTGTGGGGCCCATGCACCAAGGAAGACCCTGGCCAGCTGGAGGAGACTTGCCGGGGAGCAGAGCCCGGCCTCTGGGGTCCTGTGTTCTGGGCTGCAATGAGCTCTGCCTCCAGCGAGCCCGGCAATGGGGATGCTTCCCAAAAGCCCCTACTGGGGCTGGACGTCGTGATCCAGGTCAGTGGGGAGGTCGCTTCCCTTCTCCCTCCTGAGAGCAGGTTGGACATGGCACAGAGAGGGGGTGGCCAGGCGGGACCTTCCTGGTTCCCGGGGCACTTTCCACTTGCTCACGTGTTCGCCCTGAGCGTGCAGGCAGTCACGGATGCAAGCAGGCACACCTGTACGCACACACCGGCAGCCTCCAGCCCGGAGAGAAAGCCTGGGGAGAGAGAGCTCTGGGCCGCTGCTGGCTGTGGACGTTCAGGTGGCCAGCGTCCCTGGCAGCCACGGGCTTGCAGGCTGCACACCGGGATGGGGACAGGCCGGCAGCCCTCGGCACTGACATTCTGGGACCTCTTTCACTGCCCTCCCGTGGCAAAGTGTGGGGGCCTGCGGGGCCTCCCTGGGGCAGTGTTCCCATTGCTGTACATTTGTGGGAGGCTGTGGCTTCCAGATGTTCTGGTTCTGTCTTCATAGCACCTGGTGTGTGCAAACAGTGGCTGGGCATTGTCCCGTGTCCCTCTCCCCTCGCCTCCCTACTTCCCAGAGCCCACCTAGAGCCCAGCCTGCGGTCCCACCTCAGACATCCCTCCTCCCTGAACTGCCATCACCTGCTGCTGGCCCCTGCAGCCAGGCCCCACCTCCAACGGACCCCTCGGGATTCCAGGGAACCCCTGACGAACTGGCTTACTCGCGGTTGCTTGTTAACCCAGCTCTTAGCATCTCAAAACTACGCCACGGCAGGCTGACACGGCCCTATCCAAACAGTACAGGTCACCTGAAAGGAGAGATGGCCACAGCTGGCGCAGGTGACTGAGTGACAGGGTAGACACAGGGTTTGCTCACACACAGGGCCGCACGAGGACTCAAGGCAGGATATTTGAATTAGGTGATGCAACGAGACAAAGAGATGCCATGGGGTGACCTCTATCTCCTCCACCTGGGGGTGACCTCTCACCTCCACCTCCTCCACCTGGGGTGACCTCTGACCTCTACCTCTTCCACCTGGAGGTGACCTCTACCTCCTCCACCTGGGGTGACCTCTGACCTCTACCTCCTCCACCTGGGAGTGACCTCTGACCTCTACCTCCTCCACCTGGGGGTGACCTCTGCCTCCTCCACCTGGAGTTTGGCCAGCTCTGCCTGGGTGTCAGCTCCATGAGTTCTGAGAGCAGGGCTGGTGAATGCAGGCTGGAGAGCTAGCATACTACATTTACAGGACACTCGCCGCCCTGTGAGGACGCTCATCCCCTCGGATGTCAGGAAAGCCGAGCCTAAGGGTTGGAGGGAGCTGCTGTGGTTAGCGGCTGGTCTGAGGCCGGTGCTGACACCAGGCAGGGGCATGAGCGCTGTGCAAATGTGGCTGAGGGATGCTTTGCCTGACCCCAAGTTCCCACTGTCCCCAGGAAACTCATCTGGAGGCTACACAGGCCCCAGCGAGGTCAGCTCTGCCCGCCCTCCTGACACCTGTTATTTTCGCTGTAGGGATTGAGATCTTGATGCCATTACCCCAGAGTGAGCAGGCAGCAGGCGGGCGCCAGATGCCCAGATCAGCTGTCCAGATGGGCGGCAGAACTGTAGGGATCCTCCACCCTCTAGCTACAGCCTGGGAGAACACGGGGCCTGGAGAAGGCTGTGACTTGAGGATGCAGGACCCTGCCCCCTGACTAGGGGTGGTGGCTATGGACAGACGGTGAACACGCTCCCAGGTCGGGAGGAGCCCCTCTGACATCCTCTTCCTCCGGCCCCAGCTGCTCTCCCCTCCTCTGGAAGCCCCCCAGCAACCTCTGCACAGCACCCCAGAATGCCCCCTGCCCCAGAATGCCCCCCGCCCTAGAATACCCCCCACCCCAGAATGCCCCCCGCCCCAGAGCTGGAACTGGACTTAAGGGGGCAGGCTTGGAAACTCTCAACCTCTGTCCCTGGGGTGAGCAAGTCGGACATGCGGAATGCAAAGCCCCCTGAAATTACACATGAATTGGGAGGTATCTGTGACTGCTTCGAGGGGTGGGGGGTGTGCCCTTCCTCGGAATCTCCAGCATCCAGACCCACAGCTGGTGGAGAAGCACGGTGCACAGATTCCCGGACGAGGAACCCAGTACAGGAAGCCCAGTTCCCTCAGAGCTGGGGGCTCCTCAGACTCTGTTTCTCTGGGCTTGAGTTTTGATTCATGCTGCTTTTCTCGGAAATTGTCCATTACATCTAAATTTTCAAGTTTATTGGCAAAAGTTGTTTACAATATCTTCTCTTATCTTTCGGATGTCTGCAGGATCTGTGGGGTAACCAGCTGACCCTCTTTGCTGGGGGGTCTTGAGACAGGGGTTTCCCAGGACTCCAGACAGCCTTGGGTCCGGAACCCAAGTCCTGGGCACAGCGGGGAGGAAGTGGCTGTCCTGAAGTGGCATCTCCTTTCTCGTTTCTGATGCTAGCCGCGTACTGATCCTCCTCATAGCATTCTTAGCTTGTGTTTCACTAACCTACATATCCATTCTTCCTTTGCTTTCAGTTTATCTGGGTTTGTTCTTCATCTAACTTCTGGAAATATGTGCTTGACTCATTGATTGTTCAGCCTTTTAAAAAATTTCTTTTTTCCTGGCCGGGCGCAGTGGCTCACACCTGTAATCCCAGTACTTTGGGAGGCCAAGGCGGGCGGATCGCTTGAGGTCAGGAGTTTGAGACCAGCCTGGCCAACATGGTGAAACTCCATCTCTACTGAAAATAGCCGGGCGTGGAGACGGGCACCTGTAATCCCAGACACTCAAGAGGCTGAGGCGGGAGAATCGCTTAAACCCAGGAGGTGGAGGTGGCAGTGAGCCGAGATTGTGCCACTGTACTCCAGCCTGGGAGACAGAGCAAGACTCTGTCTCAAAAAAATAAAATAAAATAAAATTTTTTAAAAATAAAAATAAATTTTTTTTCTTTAAATTATGGGAAAGTATACATAACATGAAACTGACCATTTTAACCATTTTTAGGAACAATTCTGCAGCACTAAGCACATCCGCAGTGTTGAGCAACCGTCACCACCATCCGTGTCCAGACCTTTTTTTCAGACAGAGTCTTGTGTTTATCGCCCAGGCTGGAGTGCAATGGTGCGATCTCGGCTCGCTGCAACCTCCGCCCTCCCATCTTCAAGCAATTCTCATGCCCTTAGCCTCTCCAGTAGCTGGGACTACAGGTACACACCACCATGCCCAGTTATTTTTTGCATTTTCAGTGGAGACAAGGTTTCACCATGGTAGCCAGGAGGGTCTCGAACTCCTGACCTCAAGCAATGTGCCCGCCTCGACTTCCCGAAGTGCTGGAATTACAGGTGTAAGCCACCACACGCAGCCCCAGAATTTTCATCTTCCCAAACTGAGGCTCTGTCCCCGCTCAACGTTCATGCCCCATTCCCCACTCTCTCGGCCCCCGCCATCCTACTCTCTGGCTCTATGAACTTGGTGACTCTGGGAGCCTCGTCTAAGTGGATCAGATGGCATTTGTCCCTTCGTGGCTGGTTTATTTCACTGAGCATGACACCCTCGAGGTCCACCCCTGTTGTAGCAGGTGCCAGCATTTCCTTCCTTTTTAAGGCTGAGTAATGTTCTGCTCATGAAGGGACCACACTGTGTTTATTCGTTCATCTCTGAATGGATGCCTGGATGGCTTCCGCCCGTTGGCCGTTGTGAAAATGCTTGCTGTGAACCTCGGGGTACAAATATGTCTTCGAGCCTCCACTTTTAATTCTTTCGGGCAGATGCCCAGAAGTGGATGCCTGGATCGCACAGAGAGTCTACATTTAATTTTGTGGGGACCCATCACGCCGTCTTCCACAGTAACCATACTGTCTTACCTTCTTGCTTCTTTTCCTCTCTCATGTACGCACTTCCCTCCAAGCAAGGTTTATCTGTCCAAACTGTTGTTACTCACACCACTTTGCACACCACATGTGTGGGTTTCTCCTAACACCAGCCAATTCTCCAGCTCTCTGGACACCAGCTAGCCGTCCTACAGTTCAATCCAGTTTGGACCCTAACCATCCAGACCTGGCACAGACCCACAGTTTAAGGACTCGGTCCCATAAAGCTGCCCCACCTCAGATGCCAATCACAAGTCCTAGGCCTCCCGTATTCTGTCTGACCGGCTATGAATTAGGGGTTCTGACAACTCCCTGCTCAACTTGATAATTTGCTGGAACAGCTCACCTCTGGAAGTGACTTTCCCATTTGATTACCAGTTAATTATAAAGGACACAACTCAGGACCAGCCAGAGGGAGAGGTGCCCGGGTCAAGGTATAGGGGGCAGGGACGGAGCCTCCAGGCCACTGGGTACACCAGCCACCCACAGCACTGCCTTGTATTCAGCAACCCAGCCTGCCCAGCCCTGTGGTTTGGGGTTTTTAATGGAACCTTCATTAAGTAGGCAAAATTCATTTAATCATTGGCCGTTGGTTCATTTGGCCGTTGGTTCATGATTAAATGGTTCATTCATTTAATCATTGGCTCCAGAGACAGCTCCTCTCCCCTCCCCAGATGTCGGGGTGTGGGGCCGAAAGCACCAATGCTCTAATCGTGCCCTGGTCTTTCTGGTAACCAGCCCCTACTTTGCGGCTCTCCAGGGCCCTGGCCATCAGCCACGTCCTAGGCCAACAAAAGACACGCTTATCACTCAGGAGATCCCAAGGGCCAAGTCTAGAGTCCCCACCACAGGATAGGAGTGGTGGATGGTTTCCAAGTGGCCAGGCCATGGTGCCTATCACCGAGCCCCACACTGTCACAAGCAAGCCAGAGGCAGACGCTCAGCCCGTCTCCAAATCTCCCAGGCCACATCCAGGTCTTGTCAGGCACGGCCAGGGCCACTGTGCTAATGACAGGGGTCCATCCTCCCACTCAGGAACCCCTGCCAGCCCCGTGGTCCAAGGATCGCGTCCCACAATCCTCCACACAACATTCGAGGCCCTCGCAGTCTGGCTCCAGGTTCCTCCCCACCCCATTCACCCCCATCCCCACTGGCCCTCTCCCAGGCCCTGCGCGGC